ACAAATAAAAAACAGAAAATAAAATGAATAATATATATTTATTAATAATTTATATTAATTAAAATATAATATAAATAAATAAAAAAACAGAAAATAAAATAAATAATATATATTAATTAAAATTTCTTTAAATAATAATAAAATTAAAAAATAATAATTACAAAAACACAAAAAATCATAAAAAACAAATGATTAAAAGCTAGTTAGGGGTGGCATTAGCAAATGATAGGGGTGTCATTAGCCACCCCCTCTATATATCTATATTGTATTAATCTATATTATCTTATTAAACAAATTTTAAAAAAGTCTTAAAATCTTAAAATTATAAATGATCAAAATACCCTTTATACTTACTTTTTCACCCCTCCTCTCCTCACATACACTCACCCCCTCACATACATTCACCCTCTCACAACCTATTTTTTTAAAATCTTAATTTTAAATTTACACTTTATATCTCTATAATTAATTAATTAATTTACTTTACGTCATTTACTTTTAAATGTTTCATTTTAAACATTTATCAAATTAGCATACATAATCGTATATTAATTAAAACATGTTTAAAAAATACATTTTTATTTTAACAAGTTGCACCATTATAATCGTCTCGTTAATACCTTCAAAATGAGTCCAATATTGAATAGTTTTTGACTTAATTATATTATTATATATTATATATTGTGAAAAAAATATTTTTAATATTTACGATTTATACTTTTATAGTTATTTATTTATTTATATACTATATATTTTGGGGTTAGGCTGTTCAATTGCACTGTATAATATGTTTTGAATTAATATGTTCTTGGGTTTTTTTGAAATATATATATATATATATATACATGTATTAATTCAACCTTAATTTGAGTTTCTAGACAAGAAAGAGGATAAGCAGTTGAAATTTCATTTTAAAACCCATCTTTTTTTGTCTTTTCATGGCTTATGATATGTCAAATTTGTAGTTTTCTTTATTGGTTTTGAGTGTTTATCTTAAAACTCAAGTTTATTGGTTCTTTGCTCTTGGTGTAAATCGAATACATTTGTGGAGTCGTTTAAATATGTTGGATTTTAAATATACTGGATTTTAAATTGTCATACAATTTTTTTCATCGATAGTCTGTATTGGAACCATAACTCTTATTTATTCAAATTGTATTAATATGTAAAGACCAAGTGTGTTGGGTTCAAGATTAGTGCTTAAATGTTGTATTCAAGTTTCTCCATTTACTTAGTTTTATTGTAATTAGTTTAGCCTTATTTTCTTTAGTATAAATAGTCTTTTCATTGTAATTGTAATGACACAATTGATTACATCATTAATCAGAAAAAGGTGATTTGACAGCAATTATTCTCTCTCTCCAATCTATCTTGAATTCATATTCTGTTCTTGAGATTTAATGAAGATTTCTTCAAGATTCGTATGAAATCTGGACTTTTCAAAGTGTAACCTATATCATCGTTAAATCTTATCTTATAAAACCAGTGAAACTTCAAAATCGTTAAAATTCATGGCTCCCGCTGCATTGCGCGGTACACAACTAGTAAGCATTTAAACCAAAGTTTTAAGTACAAGTTTTAATACATTGAATACAAGTTTCTATAGCACAAAATAAAAAAATCTCTTACTTACAGGGTTGTATGCATGATGTACAACTTATTAATACACTGATTTTTCACCACAACCAAAAATGGAGTTCTAGACTCCCTTTTCTTCTACAATAGTCTCAAGAGCTCCCATTTGATATAAGCTTTCTTTTTTCTCCTTCCTATAAAGTTTTCTTGTGAATCCACAATATGATCAATCTTCATATAATCTACGGCAGATTCATATAATCATCAAGAACAACTTGAGAGGAGATGAGAGGAAAAGTCAACAAGTCAAACCTTCTATATTACTCTCAATATTAATGTATTATTACAATGAAGCTTTCCTGTTTCTAACACTAAAAGACAAACTAATATATAGGGTCAAACTAAGAACCCTTGTAGTCAAAGTCAACAGAAGATACAAAGTCAAACACCCTATCTTTACAATTATAGACAATAGTAAACTTTCAAGACGAATACAATTTAATACTGAAATTCAGTCCTAACATTCTCCCCATTTGTATTCAGGCTTGAAAGAATTTGCGCATTTTGAATTTTGTTTGAACTTTGTCTCTTTAAGCTCTGTATGACTTTTTGAAATCTTCAAAAAAAATCTTCTAACTTTATCTGCTTCAGACGATCTTTTGTTGAGAAAATCTTCTAACATTCCCCTCCCCCTCGAATGTAGAACAAAAACGATCTTCTCTTTTCACGATAAGAAACAAAATCAGCAACAATCTTCAAAAATGATCTTCAAGATATGATTTTCAAATAATTTCTTCAGACAAACAAATTACTAACACTCTCCCCATAAATGAATTTCTCAGATAAAAGTTCACAAACATTCTCCTCAAAATTAAACATTCTCTTTGCTGATAAATCTCTATCAATAAACTTTTGTATAGATGATCTTCACATTCAACATCTCTCAAACAATATAGCACAAGAATAATATTAAGTAATAATCTCAAGTCACACTCCTTTGAGTCTGTTGCCGGTTCTCAATATTTATCTTATACTCCCCTTTGATGTTACTCCCCCTTGATTTTTATATCATTCTCCCCTTATATCATCCAGAATTGATCATTTCACTCATTATTTCATACTCCCTCTTATGATGAAATGAGAATCATTAGCATCATACATCAGAATGAATGAAAT